TGAAGATCATTCATACCTCAAATCTGTATTTTCTTTCTATAAGCAGATTGACAGCTGGGGACTTTGTGAAATAGAATCGGAAAAAATCAATGATGACAAAAGCCCGATTTGTTTTGAAATTTCCAATTTTTGTGTCTTCACAATCATTTTTTGCTTTTAGATAGCCGATCATTTCAGTTCTTAGATTTCCGATCTATGTTTGGTTCATTGTAGAACAGATCAAATATTATGCTCATTTGCAGCTGGTGATCAGGTACAGATGTACAATTCTGAATAATAATTTCTAAAATGTTGGATTTTAGGCAATAAGAGAGCTAGGAATCATTTAAACATATAATACGAATGAGAGAATACAAGGCGTTAAAGCTTTGTTTCAGAGGACACAAGATCTACCAAGTCCTTTTCTATCTTCAACTGGTGATTTCAAATGTATAATTTTAATCCGTTTTATTTTTTTATTTTTTTTATTTTATTTTTTTTTATTTTATTTTATTTTTTTTTTTTTTTTTTTTTTTTTTTTTTTTGCCCTTTGCAGTCATATGGCGTTTATGCATTGAAAACGGCGCTTTCATACATTGATGTTTTCTGATACCCGAATTTTTTTAATTGTATCAAATTAAGATAAATATGTAGTAGAACAGCAGAAACAAAGGTGTTGATTTGCTAATATGTAAAAACAACATTCATATTCTGCGATTTTTTTTCTTTCTTGATTTTTTGATTGAAATCTCCTTTATCAATTGATAAACGATTCAATAACATAGACATTTTCTTCTTACTTTCAATCAAACTCCACAGGCCTTATGTGGAAGAAGAACAAACGTTACAGCTAGGGTAATCACGCAGAGGCTGATTCCAGTCTATTTTGCGATTTTAATGCTTGTTGAGTAAATGATGATTTAGAGTATCATGGTGTTCAAAAGAATCTCCGAAAGACGTGTACTACGTAGACATATACTCAGATACCAAAATCAAAAGTCGGCAGTTTTCAATACAATATTTAAATTATCAGATGTTACGCTAAATGTTCACAGTAAGTGTCACTTATTTATTGCTTTACATTTCTGTGCATACATTCAGATCTAAGTGGTTTACCACTTTTTTTTTCTTTAGCATGATGGATTTACCTCTAGTCTATCAATATATAACACATCATATGTTTATGTTTTTTTCTTTCTACAGTATCTAGAATATGTATACCCTGTTGCAACCACTATTGAAAGAACGTACGTTCACTATTGAAATGGTTGTTTTAATTGTGGTTAAACATGCATTTCAAAACCGAACACAGGTTGCAACCACTATTGAAATAATATTCACTACTGAAATAAAATAAATCAATAGGAATTGAAAGAATTATTTTAATAGTTGTTGACAACGATTTCAATATCAAAATCGCAAAATTAAAAAAATAAGCTATTTTGATAATAAGAGTTATATAACTGATTATATAAATGCAAATATTGTAGCTTTTTATAATCCATACAGATATAGTGGAAAGAAGCCGCCAATTTCAGTTAATATCTTCACTCGTTTTGCTTTCTCATTTCTCATTGTGCTCTCTCTCTCTCTCTCTCTCTCTCTCTCTCTCTCTCTCTCTCTCTTAAACTATCACTTAACAGGATGTGAATCCAGATTTTTTTAATGCTATAAAAGGTTACTTTCTTTTCCAAATTAACACAGCACACATCACTGACGCAGGGCAAACGTGGTTTTTTTTAATCCCACTTAGGTACTATGGCTTATTTTCCTTCTATCTGTGAGCTTTTAATTATATTGTAGAATCTGGACCTAAGTATAGAAAATTAGACACGGGGTAATTTAAACACTATCCATTCTATAATAATAAACTTCATTGTTCCGATTTTAAACAAGGTGCAAGAACTGGTCCCGGGAAAACTACGGAGATAGGGAAGTTAGGGAGAGTTGCGTTTGTTCGTAAGATGTCGATATTTTCCTAATGTGAATAACTTTTTATACAAATGCAATAGAGTGGCATTTTTCGGTGCACAATTGAAAAAAAGCCTTATAAATATTAGCTAGCCACCAATGTTTTATACTTGTAAATTCATTGTTTTTAATACATCTAATTCAATATTGTCAATGACGGTCATATTGATTTAACCCTTTCCTTACCATGCATAGGTACTTTTAATTTAAATGCGTAAATCTATCTTTAAGTAAATCTATCTAGGCCAATGCAACGTTCTATCAGTACTAAGCCAAGGTTATATCAATACGTTAATACAATTCTATCATTACCGGCCTAAGGTTTGTTTGTTTGTTTGTTTGTATGTTGTTTAACGTCCCTCTAGAGAATTTTTCACTCATATGGAGACGCCACCACTTGCCGGTGGAGAGCTGAAAATTTTGTCCTATACTCAGCACTCACGGCCATTGAGCAGTGAGGGATCCTTTTTCGTGCCAGCATCTACTGCGACACGGAACCTCGGTTTATACGGTCTCATCCGAAGGACCGGTCTCCACGTCCCACAGTGGGATTCGAACCCGTGACGTAAGGATCCACTCCTTACCTCGCGACTCTAGAGTGAACGCTCTAACCACTGCGCCACGCGTGCGACTACCGGCCTAAGGTAACTATTAATTAATATTACGTTAATGTTATCCTCTCCCATCCAAGTTTATGTTGATATATTACTTTAATTTTATCTTTACTACGCAATGTAACATTGAAACGTTTTATTACTCCTTTCCTCACCACGCAAATATGATATTGAAACGTTAATACAATTGAATAATTGCTACACTAAGGTAATTTTCAATATAGTCCTATCCTTTTAAGCCAAGATATATTGTTAAAATAGTGATACTGTGCTTTCTAAGAAATTTAATATATTAAGTATTGATTATATATAATTTAGGGAGGGGGTTAGGATTGGTCAAAATGAGGACCAGCAGCTATTTTAATTAATGATTATTTTTTTTATAAATAACGAAGTGTTAATTTTTATTAAGAAAATAAATTTTTCATAAATAAGTGTTTACATTTCTCATTTTTGGGGGGCATTTCACAAATAGAAATTTTGACATTTTAATTCAAAAACAATTATTTTAGTTGTATGAAATTTTGTATAGGATATGTTGTTTAATGTTTAAACGAGGCGCGTACAACAAAATCTTCTGCATTTCAAAACAGCTGTACCACAGTGTGTTAATTGTAGGGTAAATTCTTTGTGTTCTGCCTATCAGATAAATATCTACATTGTATCGTCCTGAATCACCATATATAGTGATATGAAATTTAAACAAACACTTGGAAATAAAATACTTTGAATTAAAAGAAGATTACACACCTTGGTGGGTTTTTTAATTGCTTTATATTCAGCAGTTCTGAAATTCGAGATGACAAAAAAGTGGCCATATCTCAGGCAATGTGTTATTAAAACATACCTGCTGGAGCAATTGTAAACGAATGTCACCTTTAATTTACAACAAAATCAGTAATAAGTGCTAAATATTTGAAAAAAATATATCTAATAAATATGTCTTATAACTGTGATCTAATATATTATTTCCGATTCTATAAAATTAAATATGTTTATTCTGAATGTCGTGGCAAATTTCTAAAGAGTATCACACAATATGTCATTTATCATGGTAATTAAGGTCAAGATCTAGTAAATGAAGAGTGCCTACAGTTTTCTCAAATTTGAGAAACAAATTCCTTTAATAATCTTTTACAATTGTAGCTAAATAAATTGAGGTGTATCGGGAAATAATTTTTAGATAAAAGCAACGAAAAAACATATTTAAAACTGCCCTTTTCAATGAAAAATGAAGACAATCAGGTATAAAAATGGGAGTTTTCTGAATCTCAGACAAATAGAATGTATCAATATTGCCTACAATCTCTCAATAAACGGTTTCTCATATCTTCTTGACCTCTTCTTTAAAATGATATAAAATTGAATTTAGGTATCGGGGTTCCTTTAGAAATGATTTCAAATTGAATTCCATGAAAATGTGTCATTTTCTACTTAATTCTGTTATAGCCGTAAAATACGGTAAAAAATAAGATTAAATCAATTATGACGTCATAATGGATCTAGCACCAAAAGACAGATTAAACTCATTTACTAGATCTTGAGCTTAACTGGAGGCACACTATTCAAGATTCCGAACATGATAAAAATTCTCAAATTTCACCCAAAAAGGATTTTTCTCTATATTTTTTAGGAAATACAGCTTTTGATGGTTTATATACTTTCGAGTATTTATGCTACTATACTCCTAGTCTTCTACAGAAGAAACACACCAAAAAAAATCCCATTATAGGAAAGCAAACCTTTACAAAAAATTAGAGTATTTTATCATATTATTTTTTTTTTTTTTTTTTTTAACTTTCAATTTTTACATGATTAAAGTACTTGAGAGTAAATGACACAGATTGTAACAGGTTTCCTTCTCCTTTATTCATTAATACTTTGCCAATTATTGACTATAGTTTTTGGAATATGTTTGCCTGGAGTGACCTTTTGAAAAAAAAAATAAGGAATGTAAAACAAATATATTATTTTACCACGGCCTTATGCAGACGTCAATGTGAGAAAAGAGATTATCAAATAAAAATTCATATTGGGTCCAGGTATAAGTAGGAGAATTAATGACAAAAAGATAAATTATGTGAAAATGCAAGTGTAGGGCATTTTATTTCGTCTCAAACAAATTTTTTATTGTGTTCAAATAGATCGTTTGAAAAGGGATAAATTATAACTGATATTCTTAGCGGAACTCACAGATGAATCAAATAAGTCCAGTCCAGAGCAAAGGAATGAGGTCGAAAAGACGTTTCTCCTGCTCTTTTCCAAAGTATCCAGTTGGTTTTCATCTACATGTGTATTAGTATATTGTACGTGTATGTGGAAATGTGTGAATGTGAACGACAAAAAATTTGAATCCATTTGCAGCCTTCTTTGATATAAAAACAGAGAATGCTAAGTTCTACTTAAATTATGATGAAATCGTAATTTCCACAATGTTTAATCACCAACCCCTATTTCTGCCGATAGGGATCTAAATTCATTGTCACAAGATCTTAGAGTATCTCCAAGATTCGATCGAAAGGCTGTCACTTCATCTTTGTCTCCACTCTCCGGAAATTCTATATAAGATTTTGACTCAATCAAGTCCATGAATGAGAATGGTAATTTTTTCATGGCGTCTTTCTCTAATGCCACCAAAAGCAAAACATTCTCACCATTTCTTGAATAAATGGCTTCCATGCGTGCCATGTTGAGCTCAAACATGCACCAGTATGATTGTAAGAAATCTGAAGTTATGACACAGACGGTTTTCCTGCTATTATGAATGGCGTTCGTGATATTATCTGCTATCCCTGTTCCTGGGATGAAATCACGATGATGTATACACAGCCTTAGATTGAATTCCTCTTCCAAACGCTTAACAAGATCAATAACGAATGTTCTGTCTTTCTCGGCATAAGATACAAATGCATCAAAGTGATACAAATTTTCTAAAGCGTCTGGCTTTTTTTCACTATTTTTATATTTTTCCCTCGCCACGTAATACATATATCTCAGTTTCCACCTATATCTATAAAGAATACGACTGATGGTGATTGTTAAGACAACGAAAGTTAATGCCGTCATAATGACGATGATGAGAGTATACGAGGAACACTGCTTTTCCAAAAGTTGGAGTAATCTAATATTTGAGAATCGAATATTTGTGGAATTCGATAAAATGCATGTATAATCATCAAAATGAAGAAAAACAAGGTTCTTTGAATTGAGAACCCATTTCACGAATTTTAAGTTTCCACAATTGCATCTGAAATTGTTGCCCTTTAAGTTCAAATAAACAATCTTCTCTTGTGATACTGCGTCTAACATATTTCTAGTTTCCTTGTTCATGGTCGATAACTGGTTATCGGAGAGGTCTATATAAGACAGATTAACCATATGGCTTATGGGTAATTTAAACTCACCCAAAGAATTATAACTGAGGTTAAGATTTTCAAGTTGGAGGAGATTTTGAAAAATTTTTGCCGGAAGTCGAAGGATCCTGTTTCGAGTTAGGTTCAAAGAGGTTAACATACTCAGATTTTGAAATATTTTTCCATCGACGTCATTTTCCAGATTCTCTCCAAGTGCATTATAGGAGAGATCAAGATGGGACAAGTTTCTGAAATCTTCAAAAAATCTTGGCGAGATATACCTGCAAAAATTATTGGAGAAGTCCGCGTGAAATACACTTTTCATGCCAACAATGGGCCCATTTAGTTCATAGATAATATTGTTTTGCAAATAAAGCTTTGACAACGCAGGTTTACTAATAAATTTGAATGAGAAGTCTTGAAGAGTCATTTTATACATGTTATCGTGGAAATACACAGATTGTAGCGTAGATGGCAGTAAGATTGTAATATTTTTTGGTCTCAGTAAAAGTGTAGACCATCTATTGCTTCTCAGATACCTATGCTGGTTTTCTGACAAAGTCGCACAAACCGGTCGAGTATCATTGCAGCTCATGACAATGTCTTCTACTTTAAGTTGATGAAAAGAGGACTGGAAACTTGCATTGACGGTCACTATATTGGACAAATCACCGAATTCTACCAAATATATTCCAAAACTGAGTCTATTATTGGCCAGATTTAGGTGCTTTAGCGACTTTGGTAGATCAGACAGAACACCTGCCTCAAGGCTGTTGATGCGATTGGACGCCAAGTTTAGTTCTTCCAAAAGTGTATGTTTAAGGCCAATAAGGTGATATCTCTTAACAATGAAACTTACTCCGTACGTACATTGTAGATTCTCAAAATTTAAAACGCGAACAGAAGTAGAACTTCTTAAATCACTCGATATATTGGCCAAAACCTCCAGAGTTAGTTCCTGATTACTGGAAATATCAAGATGCACAATATTTGAGGAGTTATGAAAGGAATCCAGTTCAATCATCTGAAGCGAGTTTTTAGAAATTGATAAATTCCTCAGGAAACTATATTTTTCCAGTGATCGTCGATCAACAATTCTCAACCAATTTCTCGAGACATCCAAGTAAGCGACATTTAGAGAAAGATTGGTAGGAAAATTGCTAAGTCGGTTATTAGCAAGACTTATCCCTATGACCTCATTGCTAAATGAAGGTGCTGATATTAGATCAAGGTTTTCACATATTGCCCATAGCTCTCCCTTTATTTTTTGACATACACATTGTTTGTTTGACGAACAATCCAAGGAAATCACTAGTACTACTGTTGCGAAAATGACAAGAAGTCCAAGTTCAATCACCTCAAAATTCATTACTCTACAAAAGATTAAATACAGCTATAAGAATGATAATATGGAAGGGGTCTTCTTCCTCTTTATTTGGCACCTAGGAAAATGATTAAAAATAAAACTTGGAAAAAATGACAACATTAATTGAATGTATAAAATGATCTTGAAAAAAAAATAGAGGCCTAAATTTAAATCACCCCTGTTCCAAATTTAATTTTTAAAAATAGATTTTCAACCTTGATTTTCATCAACATCAAAGGTTTTAGACGCTTACGGGGAAAATACGAAAAAAAAGGAGGCATACTTTTTCATGATGTGAAGAAAATGTGACAGTTAAAAGTAACAGCAAACATTTATTATTACAATAAAAATTAAAACTTATGCATATAAATATGATGATTGATGACATATCTAATTTATTAATTTACTTTTAGACCACATACGGACAAGATGCTTTTTAAAATCAGAATATCACAGCATAATGCTCAAATAAGATACATTTCATCAAAAGTCATTTGAAGTTTCATAAATTTTACTAAACGTAATAAAAATATATAATGACAATAAAAATAGTGTCTCTTGAACATTGTACGGATAAATTATTCAAGCTTACATTTTTTTTTTTTAAATATAAATGTTTTCTGATTTCATATAAACTTTGAAAGTGGAATCCAAATGTATTGGGTCAAATATTAGGAATACTTATCAAAAATGTTGGCAAGGAAAATATAACTAAATGTTTGTGTCACTAAATATTTACTTTAACAGCTGTGAAATATTGTGAATAAATTATTCAAGCTTACATTTTTTTAAAAATATAAATGTTTTCTGATTTAATATAAACTTTGAAAGTGGAGTCCAAATGTATTGGGTCAAATATTAGGAATACTTATAAAAAATTTTGGCAAGGAAAATATAACTAAATGTTTGTGTCACTAAATATTTACTTTAACAGCTGTGAAATATTGTAAATAAACAAACATTGTGGTAAACAAGCATCATCTGAAGAAGATAATTTTTGAATATAATTCTTTCAAAGTTATCGATCTAATCAGAGAGTTGTTAGACTTTAAACATGTTGAAATTGTTTCATAACTGTCTCTTCAATACAATAGTACACATAAAAAATATGATTTAAAAATATAGATATATATCTATTACTTATTGTTCTAAGGCAACGAAATGTGATTAAGCAACAGATCACTTTTTTATGAAAAGTCTCAAAATTTCATTGCAATTTTCCAAATAAAAGTAAATTTACCTTGATTTTCACGTGTGCGATTTCTAACTCTTTTCTGCATTAAAGATCACTTGGCTTTAAATGCAGTTTTAACAATTACAGAATAATCATCGTCATTTGAAAGTGCAAATACTGAATCACGGGTCCTATAACCATATGAAATTACTTCAGATCAAAGATTAACCATATTTTCAATTTGTTTAACCTTGAAAAAAGAACAAACAATGAACGTTGAGAAACCAGATATAGAAATGGCAAAACCCTTGTGATTCCCCAGCATTTTGGAAACTATTTTCGCTCTAACATATAAAATTTCTGATCAAATGTTTTCCTTTTTGGCAAAGATTTTTGAACTTTCATTGCAATATCCAGAAAAAAAGAATCATCAGCATGAATTATATCTTGTGAAAAAAAAACCCATTACTTGTCAATATAAACAAACTTTTAAAGGGGGTCTTCCCATTCCTTTCACCGTTGTCGTTGATCACAGAACAGCCTGGTTGATACAAGAAAACAACCCATATGTAAGATTAATTACAACATCAATTTAAAGCCGAAATTTACTTAACATTTGAAAGCATGTGAAGAATTTCAAAAGATAGTGATTTAAGATAGATATATAAATAGCTGCAATTCATTTAAATAACGGTCTAGTTAGATAATGCATAGATCAATGTGAAATATGAGAAGCAACAATTGAAACATTGTCCATGCCGTCTTAGGTTTGAACACTAAAATATCAAACCTGAGGGCTTTTCCCCTCTGATTAATATTTAAGTGAAAATTACCCTCAGAAAAAAATTTTCAAGCAGTGCAAAAATATGAAGCAAAGATGTTTATATACGAGGGGTGATCAAAAAGTTCGCGAACTAATTGAATTACTTCCTTAAAAGAAATAAAATGAGGTTTCAGTGCTCATTATTTTTTAAAACAGTCCTCTCCGATTATAATCTGTCATTGTTCTGCCCATGCACGAATCACGTGATTCAGGCGGTCGCGTGACATGCTCCGTGGCGTTCTGTTCACAGAAATTAAAAGATTTTTCCGAGTCTCATATTTCTTACCATGCAAGTTATTTTTTAAAACAACAATAGTCCATCCGTCAGAAATGGCCAAATCTCGGCAATGGGATGGGCGGATAAGGGCATCCCTTCACAGAATTAGCATGGTGATCATCAAAACCCGAGACCTCTGTCTCGGGAACGTCGTTTATCCTATGTGGATAAAGTATGGACGACCTCTTTTTATCATAGCTCATATGTTTAAAGTCTAAAGTAAATGATATTTTAGGGATCAAATATTTATATTATTGTTAAGATATTCAACTATTTTTCTAATTGTAGTAACTTGGCTATCTTCCATAACAAATTGCTCAACTAAGGACACCGGCTCACTTCCGCTGGGCAACAGTTCAAACATCATTTTTAACCATCTCCCTGCCTTCACTAAAACAATCAATCCAATTAATGATTGAACTTCTGGTAAGTCATTTGTCTTCATAAACCTTGTACAAGTTATCATATTCTACTGCAAAGGAATTTCCAAGATATACGTTAAACTTTACAGCCGTTCGTTGCTCGAGTACGACTGAGTCAACCATTTTTTGTCAAAGGTCACCTACATATTGACGTCATTTTCACATTGTGACGTCACAAACACAGAGCAAAACATTATATAACACCTGCTATTTATAAAATATGTGTATGACTATATGTGTGCCAAATTTCATTCTGATCTGAATTGTGGTTTTGTAAAAATAGAGATAGTTCGCGAACTTTTTGATCACCCCTCGTAATTATAAAATTACAAGTCGATCTTAAAGGTATTTTGAAGGACTTTGGTCGTCTTTTCCTAGGGAAAAGAAACAATTCCATAACTTTACAGCAGATAACTTATAACGATATATCCCAGTGAACTCAAAATAAAAGTTCCACATACGTTGCAACATCCGTTTCATGTTTGGACGTTCGCGCTATATACAGTGTACGCTGATTTTCATTTTTTTTTTCCGTCCATATCATTTTCTAGATTTTCAAGTTATCAACATCATATAAGAGTACAAGAGGGGACAAAATATTTATAAAACAAAAAAAAAATGGTGAGATATACTATAGCTGCAAAAATTCTTGTAATTGTTTGTAATTAAGGACTTTTCTATGTTTGCTATTCCGTTAATAGATAATATCATTTTACAAGTTCACCTCTGACAATATAAGATTACCGCATGGGTATGTTAAGGCTACACCCAGATACCCTACCTGCCTATACAATATGACGTCATAGTAAGCTGTATGACGTGAACCTTAGAGATAATGATTTCTTCATATCTGTATTTAAAGTTTAATTTCAGGTCCAAGAAATAATTGAAATCATTCAAAAACATAATAAAAGCTAAATCATGTCGTTTTGGGGTTGTATAAATAGTTTAGTATTTATCGCAGGGGTTAAATACCAAACCCATGACGTCATAACTATTGATCAAATATTTGCCGAGTGAAACTTAAGGTGACGAGAATTCATGTTAACAAATATATGAAATGGGAGTTTTAAAGCTTATACCGTGAATGTCATGTGTGATGCATCAGGAATTAAAGATTAAGAATCAGGTACGCTAATTTATTCTTATCATGTTTTCTGAAAATGAACACAGGCAGTGTTTTGAAATCCCGATCAGCCTTTCCTCTGTCGTTCTATAACAACAAAAATGCAAAAGTTCAGCACTAGGCTGCATACTTTGAAACATGATTTTTGTTTGTAACAAAAGCTTGCATTCTATAATACTTGGAAAGTGCTGCTAGAATCGTGTAGTCAACATGAATTGATGACAATTTCCTGATCGTATGTACAAAATGTAAAAAAAAAAAAAATTGGCGAGGTTTCATGCCAAACTTTGGAATATTTTTTTTCTGTGTCGAGAGAGTAGGATTCTAGCAGCACTTTTCATGACCCAGTGATGTTTTAACATAATTATTTTCACAAAAAGAAATGAATTATCCCCGGGGTAGTGTTGAACTTTTCACTTTTTTGTTAAGGCAATTTCTTCTATTCATAGATGTCACGTGATGACGTCGTGGTGGAGTGTTTTTTTAAGCCTAGGACTCAATGACGTCTATACAATGGATAATAATAATAACTGTTTTATCTATGGCTTTTCCGATTTATCAATGTTAAATTTTACGAAAAAAGTCTAAGTTCGCAGAAAAATGATCTGGGTACTGCCTTAACATACCTGCGCGATAGATTTGAATGCGAAGTCTGTTTGACAATAGAAAAATTGTAACTTGATGTTGAATAGATTATATATACATGTATATATATATTTTTCGGTAATATAGAAAAAAACGAAGACCACCCAGGTTTTTAACAAATATCCAATGCTTACATTCTTGATAACTGATCCCCTATCGTTGCTGAATAAAAAAAAATAACCTGCCTTATATGTTGGTTTCAAAGTCGTTCACTGAAAAAGTAGAAAGTTAAAGCATCCAGAATATTAACTAATCAGATTTCAGCACACGTGCATGCATGTCCTCGTATTTTTTTCTGATGTTACCATAATCAAGACACTTTTCTTACAAACATCAACTAAATTCTGTTTTTCTTCCTGGTTCAAAACCAAGAAAGTTTTAAACACTTACAATCTTAGCCAATCAGATTTCATTACAGGTTTTTGTGCGTATGTTCTAGATTTCTCACATTTATTATATTCCTTTAGTGACTAAACTATATATGTCTTGAAATTAAAATTATGTTACATGTATTAGATAGTAAGACAGTTACAGCC